AAACATTGGATTGAAATTCTAGTTTGAAATTCATTTTCAATCCACCTCAGCTACGCAAGAATGTACGGTGTTACTGATTGACCAAGAAGACAAATAATTTCAATTTTGGAATAGTTTGAAATTTATATAAATCAGAATTTTCTGTCCAGTGTATTTAAAGAAATATAAATGGACAAATATTTGATTTATGTTTGGTATGTGTATGTGTGTGCTGGGAGGGAGACGGGCTGAACGATCTTGGAATAAATATGAAAATTTTCTTTTAAATTGACAACCCCTCCCTGCTTTTGTTTATCAAACAGTTTTCAGTGAAGACAAAACTAAAAAAAAAAGCTTTTGTCATCCTAGAAATAAATATATTCTATCATGTGAAGGCATGATCTTACTCGACAATTTTTGCCCCCCCCCCTCTTCTAGAATCAAATGGCCGTCCCTGAAAAAGTAATCCCCGTCTTCTTTTACGTATCCTTAAAATTATAAGCTAAAGTACTCATAAATATGAATGTCAAACAACATGTATTTGGGAATTGAAATTATTTGTCTTTCGGATCATACATTCACATTTTAGGTTTGAAAACAGCTCAGGTGGATTGAAAATGAATTTCAAACTAGAATTTTAATCCAATGTTTTCTCGGACGTCCATGTTGATTGTACCCGCCCATTTCATTGTCTCTCTTTAAACATTATGATTGTAACAGATGAAAATTTAAATGACGTAAGCTGAATATTTCTAATTTCGCCAGTTAATGTTCTGCGCTCTTATATTATATGGATCCCTATGTGGAATTGGCTAAAAATGAATTTTGGATATTTAATAAATTAAATAAATTGGGATTTAAGTTGAATGTATGTGTACAGGAAAAAAATCTTCATAATTGCAAAACATTGTTGTTAATATTGTGTAGATTTAGAGACCCCTATGAGTTTGATATTGCCATATTAATTTATGCGGACACATTTTTTTCATGACAGGCACGTAGCGTCGGGGAGGGGGGAGGGGTCTGCCCCCCCCCCCCCCACTTTTTTTCCAAACATGAAATTTTATAAAATCTTAATATTGTAAATGTTCATTGAAAGTCCGCCCCCCCCCACCCCCACTGTTTGTTGCAGAATATTCAAATAAGGGTGATGTAGTAGTGTATGAGTAAAATTTGATACTGAAAGAAGTTTGAAACCTATCCCCACACCCAAAAAATAGAATTTTCGAGTTAATTTTCGAGCCCCCCCCCCCCCCCTTTAAAAAACTATGCTACGTCCCTGCATGGGAATATTAAGTGGTAAAAGTTTTTGAAAATCTGAATAAGAACAGCACGGTTAAAGTCATTAAAGTTACTCAGGTGAGTATTGTGGTCCATGATCTTCGTTATTCAAATGTTTTTGAAATTATTTCTAATGTTTGGTGTTGTACATGTATCTCTGTCAAATCTGCAATAGTTGACTTATATCTAAAGCATGAAAAAATGTTCCGACACTATAGCTCCTTTACTTCCTATTAAATCTTTCACATTACGATGTTCAACTCCCATGAGTACTTTCAGTACTTTGATTTACATAGGTTTTAGACTTTATGTACATTTCTATGCTATTCCTCATGGAGAAGAAAAAACCTTTAAAACAAAGTGCAAAGAAAGAATAAACCGTACAAATGTTTATTCCACGTACTTCTCAATAATTTGTTTTTAAAAGTAAAACTTTTTTTTTTAAAACAAGGATCTATTCCTTCTGCACATCATTAGCACAACAATTTTTCCCACAAATGAAAATAAGTATTTCAATATTAAGAAAGAAAATTTAATATGTACACTATAGAAGTTATTTTTCTACTTTATATCATAAAACCTTCTAATAATTATAAATTATTAAATATATTAAAAACACTGAATCAAAAATTATTTTACTAATTTCTTTTCAATGTCTAAAATATCTCCCTCCAACTTCACTTTTCTGCACCGTATATAATCAAATTCATGTATAATCATGGGGAAAATTAACATTTCTCTTGATTTTATTGCCTTGTTAATGAAATTAGTGGTTTGCAAATTTAATTGTTTGTTTGATATTACTGACACGTTTTCTTCTAACAGTAACACAATAACAGACTACTATGTAACACCTATGTGTTAATGTTTTATTAAAAATCATTTCCTCAGAGAGACCTACTGGGCCTTTTTTGACTGTAAAAAGAACAGGTAGACGCTGAAGACAATTAACGTGCTACTGGCACCGTTATAAATAGCCCTACCTGTTAATGCAGTGACTAATTTACGGCCAATTTACACCCCAGTTTTACCTTTTTAACAAATAAAAAAGTCATATATTGAAACTGACTTCACTTATCAACAAGTATTTAAACGTGTTACTTGATTAAATAACAAACAATATTTACGTTTCTGTTAAATTGTAGCTTAATGAGATGCACGTGTAATTTATCATTTCGTTAATTACTGTACCTGATGTTTGCCTCCGCTTTGCCGTGGAGGGCCCGGGGCTCGGGGCTCCGCTCGATTCATTCAATAGGTTTTCATTTAGTAGACATCCAAAATAAGACATACACATGACAAACCGAAGCAATTCGAGATAAAATTCCTTTTCTCTTTTTTACATGACGATTACCAATACAATCGTGTAAATGTCTTTTTACACAGGTAAATACCTGTCCGCCATTTTGTCAAATAAATTTCATCTTATTTTTTGAGGACTCCATACATCACACGATTAATAAACGTATTTCCAGCGAATTCTATCACAAGAAGCAAAGAAAACAGAATGATATTAAATTCTCCAAACGAATCAAGCTGAAGGAAAGCGAAAACAATACACTACTTGGCAAGGTAACACATGTAGTGTGACACCGCGACGCTCTATCGCACCTTGTTTACGTATGGTACAACACAGGTAAACTGACAATCCGTCACGGGAGACAACTCATTCTGTTATCGAGCCCATTCAGAGAGAGAGAGAGAGAGAGAGAGAATTCTGTACAATCGGCATAGATAACGAGATATTCGTTATCAAACCATAGGCATTTCCCAGTTTAATTGTTAAAAACCTGAACAAACAATAAATTAAAAACTCAGAAGTTTAAAATCAAAATTCGGTTTTGGAAATTTGAATTTTGAATATTTAAGGCAAAAATCTAAAAATAAATAAATAAATAAATAAATAAATAAATAAATAAATAAATAAATAAATAAATAAATAAATAAATAAATAAATAAAATAAAATAAAATTTTAAAATCTGTTTGGAAATTTCAAAATTTAGATTTTTGAACTAAATATATTAAATTTCAATAAACGAAAGTTTGAGTTTTTGAAATTTAGAAATTTGAACTAATATATTAAAATTCTAAAACTCTGAATCATTTTATAAACGTTACACGGACTGAGAAAGGGGGAGGGAGGGGCGTGAGAAGGGGTCTGGTTGCTTATCAAATTTAAGGTCTTCTCCAAATTTTTTGTCAAAAATTTTGTCGCCAAACAGAGAGACAAATCCTCACCTATTCAATTTAAAGTTTGTGACTGCACCTTTTATCAGGGTTGCATTATAGAAAATAAATGATATTAAATTTGATAATTTATCATAGAAACAGAGATCTTCATATTCAGTGCAGTAGACCACGTAAAATAAACGTGTTTTTAACGTTTTCTTTGACAATGACGTTTTATTTGCAAACATTTTTTTGATCTGTACACAATTTCAAATTTTGTCAAAAAATATATATAAATATAAATAAATAAATAAATAAATAAATAAATAAATAAATAAATAAATAAAATATTTAATAAAGATAAATAATAAAAAGTAGTAATTCTTCATAAAAAATTAAATAATTAGCTACATCAAATCACAAATTTGTTATATCAGATTTATCATTATTAATTTGATATATCAAATTACCAATTTGTTATAACAAATTGATAAAGGTGCTGCTTTTTTTTTTTTTTTTTTTTTTTTTTTTTTAAGCTTTAAACAACTACAAATATGCAGTATTTTTCAACAAAACATTTTACATCTACAATTTTGGTTTCAAATTCTTTTTTTCTTACATCTTTTGTCAGGAGACATTGAAATAAATCCAGGTCCTAAAAATGATCAAATACACACACTGGTCCTAATTACACTGAGGCCAGGAAAGATTTCTTCGATAAGTTTTTGAGATTTAATAAAGTTCATATTGTTGACACTCATACTTTACTCTGGGGGGATACCTCACTCAGTATTGCTGAAAATGAATATCTCTTCTCTATTGTTCAATCTTATATTCAGCATTCAGGCAGATTTAATTGATTTTTCTAAAAATGTGTATAGATAATAATTTAGCAGTATATGTTTCTATGTTGTGAGTTAATTTACTTTGTACATGCTGTTGGACACGTCTGATTGAATTTTTGTGATATAACATGTAGGGAGAGGGCGAATTAAGTTTTTAGAACTTGTGCCCAATCCCATTGTATATATTTATTGCAATAAAATATGTTCAAATCAAAGGTGCTGCTGCGGCCCTAATACGCTTCCGTATACGGTTTTCTACCATATATTTTGTTCAGCTGCATTTTGTAATCTTATTAGCCCATGAACCTTTAAGGTCAGTTTGAGTGACACATGACATTATATGCATTTCAGACAAGGTTGGGAGTTGAGGTCTTGGATTTATATCATCACAAGCGAGACAACCTCATTAGAGTAGCTGACGTCAAGTTATTGGATTTTCCGCCCAAAAAAGAAAATAGAAAACAGTTCTCGGCTGCCGAAAAGGATTTCTAATATTTTCATTTCTTATAATCAACACAGCATGTGTTTATGTTTTACACAAAAGTGCGCAGTTAAGCTGACAATCTCCCTTGCAGAGTTGTCGTCGTTGCTCTCTCAGACAATGTATGAGCCGATGGTAGAGAGTGTTAAGCTAAAGTATTCGTGCATCGAAATGATGACTTTCACCTCTCTCTGGTCAAGTTTTGAGGACATGTACAAATATATGTGCTAATTAACGTGGAGGATTCTCTGAACATCACAGAACGAGGATATTACGTTATGATCGTTTCCTGAGTCTTAAGGCACGCGGAAAAGTAAGTAACTTTAATAAGGAAGTTAATTAACCATATATATGGCGGCTTAGAAATGTTAAAATTCAATGTCTAGTTCTGAGGCATCCTCGCAAGCCAGGGGTCCTGAGTCAACACTTTGCCGTTGGACCCCTGGCATATTTCATTCAACATGCCAGAGGTCCAACGCCGACGTGTTGACTCAGGACTCCTGGCTTGCGAGGATGGTTCTGGGGCAAAGAGTTTCCACATTGTAGAAGTTTTTTTTTCAGTCTAGAATTATTCTTATCTTGTAAGTTCGAAGGAAAATGCAAAAGTTGAACATGTTGAAAAAAAAATTATTCTAATAAAAAAAGGCCGATACAACAGTGGACATTACAGAATGAGGGTATTATGTTATGATCGTTTCCTGAATAAGGCAAGAAAAATAAGTATCTTTAATAAGGAAGTTATTTAGCCTTATAGTTGGAAGCTTTGAAATGCTAAAATTCATTATGTCTAGCTTTAATGCGAGGGTTTTTACATGTACATTGCAGAAGTTTTTTAGTCTAAAAATATTTTTTAGACTTCTGTAGTATACCAGTGTTCTCAGATTGTAGCCCCTAAATTTATTTTGCATAAGTAGTTTCTCTTGCAAGTTTGAAAAAGAATTTAAAAGTATTAAAAATGTTATTCTTATCATTTTAAAATACCTCTTTCAGAATCAAAAACAGAAAATACTTACCATTGAAATACACAAGATATAAGCAATCTTATAAATTTCACTTAATTTGAAATACGATTTGTACATTTTTAACCGTATTAAGAAGTAGCATTATGAAATTTTATATTAAAAAAAAAGATGTAGTACTTGTGTCACAAGTGTTCATTGATATTGAAAGCATGATCTAAAGTATGTATCTAGATTTATGATACCACCTAAATCTTTCACCAAGTCTTATTTAAAGCATGCGCAGAAAACGGTGGGAGTAACATTTTGAAAGAAATCATCATCCTGACTGTTGTCATTTGTTATTGTAGATGTCATAACGGTGTTATAGAGTAGGACCCCCGCAAATTCTATACTCTAGAGTAGGATTCCCCCACCTCCGGGGGTAGAAGTCCTGCTCTAGAGCAGAATTTCCACAGGGAAAATCCTACGCGTCACATTGAAATTAAATGTGTATAATAAAAATGTAAGTTGTATTAATTACCTCTGTAAGATGGAAGTGATGCTTTAAATAACTTTTTATACGTTTAACTTTATTTTCGCTTAATTTCTACTATAGAGAATTGTTCATCTGCACACTAACGCAATATTCCACAGAAATCATACAAAAGTGCAGGTGGAATAGTGGAAGAAATTTGTAAAAAAAAAAAAAAAAAAAAAAAAAAAAAAAAAAAAAAATCTTTTTTTTTTAAATTAATCTTACTTGGATATCTATGTATAAACACGCCAACTAAGAGTTTTGAAAGAAAATCTTACTTCTGTAATTATCTCAAAAGGAAGGGATAAAAATAATGAAGAATTTTAATAAAATAATTTACAATTTTAGTGATGGATTACGATCCAACAGACATCTTGAGGAAATATGGAGAAAGACCTGGACTTTTTCATATATCATTGAACGCCTCACAAAATCCACCAGCACAGCAACTGACACATAGGATCAAAGTTATGGAGAAGTTAATCCGGGACTTCTCAGAAGGATTTTCAGGTCAAGCGTCTAGAAACTTACTTGGAACATTCTATTTCTACAATAACCAATACTTAAAAGCTGTTGAAACATTTCAAGAGGTTCTTAAAATCGATCCGAATTCACTAACTGCCTCAGCAAATCTTGCATTTGTCTATCGGAGATTGAAGCAACCTTCCAAGGCGGAAAAGTATTCAACTGAACTTGCATCAAACGATGATGAAAGACAAGGGATTGCGCTAGCAGATCAAGCTTTTGCATTCATCTTTGATTGTCATGTAGAAAAAGATGTAATGGAAAGGAATAAAGTACCAAAAGATCTCCTCGTTCAAAGTCTGGTAAAGCTTCAAAAGAGTGACCGAAAAGATCTCGTCATGGAGGTGAACTTTTGGTTAGGTCAGACATATTACCGCCTCCTCACACAGTGTCCAAGACAAAAAGGAACGGAAGAAAAAGCAAAAGAATTTTATATGAAAGGTGTTAAAGCATTAGCAAAAGTTACCAGATTTAGAAAGGATGACGACTTTACAAAGACATATGTATCCCCAGCATGGGCTTTTCTTGGTCTTTTCCTATCAAGAAGAGGAACAATTAGGGACGAGAATGGAAAATCGACAGAGAAAACCATTGAGCAAATGGACGATGACATCAAACACCATTTGAAGGAATTAGGTCTAATTCAGTTTTTAGAAAATCCTGAAGATTGCTTTAAAAAGGGTCTTCAGTGTGGTATAGAAGCAAACGAAGAACCGTTCAAAGAATCAAAACTCTCTACTGAACTATTAATTCGATACGCAATTTTTCTAAAATCTAAAAGGAGATATAAAGAAGCTTTAGAGAAAATTGACGAATCTTTGGAGATTGATAAAAGCCAGGGAAACTGGTTTGCTTGGACAGTAAGAGCAGATATTTTATTCAAATTAGATCGAATAGATGAAGCAATCAAAGATAAGGAAATAGCGTGCTCTTGGAATGCAAGTACCCAAGATCTTTGTGAACTGGCCAAAGCATACCAAGAGAAATACAAGTCATACAAAACAACAGATGAAAAAATGGCAGATGAATTTCTTTTGAAAGCCTCTGGATGTTTTCTTCAAGCAGTAGAAAGCCTTAGGCAGCAGAAAAGACCAGAAGTGCATCGTGCTTACGGCAGATTCTTACGCGAAATAGGAGAAGTTAGAGAAGCTATAGAATGTTTTAAGAGAGCAATGGAGGTTGACACTGCCAACAAAGCAACACAAAGCTTTATTCAATTATTTGAAACACTTCTTCAATTCTATCAAAGCTCTGTTTTATCGGACAATAAAGATGAAAGTGAAATAAACAAGTTATTGCATGAAATGGCCTATTTTTATGACGTGGCGTTACGAATACATGGTCAATTAATAAATGAAACCAAACAGTTTTTGAAAGATTTTCAAGTGGAAATGTCTGTTTTGACAGCTTACTTTCAATATTACAGAAATAATTCTTCGTTTCATATCAACGATAAAAGCTTATCCGAAATTATTACTTCAGCAGTTGAGCCTGAAAACATTGACATATGGAAAGAGATGGTAGAGAAAAAAATAGCGCAATTTGAAACCCGAGAAAAGTCGAAGAAGTCTGACGGAAATGCAGAGGGAGTTACATTTTGTTCGAAATGTAAATGTCAGGTCGGATATAAGAGACAACTTTCGGCTTTTCCTGTGCCGCCCGAGAGACCCCGAAATATAAGATACCCATACGATTTCTATGTTATATTTTCACCACTTGACAGAGATTGGGTTTGTCACGTGTTGTTGCAAACTCTAGAAGTATCATATGGATATAAAGGCGCCGTAGCGGAAAGAGATACAATTCCAGGTTCCATGGATATATTTAAACGCACATCCTTTATTCAGAACTGCCCTAAGATACTTGTAGTGTTGCGCACAGAGTTTGAAGACTATCCTGAATGTAACTATGAGTTGGCTCATGCTCTCCATAGAATGAACGATGGAAAATCGGAAAATTTAGTGATCCCAATATGTCGTACCATTAATGGTATGCACCCAAGTCTTAAGACTATAACGTACTTGGATGCAGTAGATGATTGTGATTGGAATAAGCTGATCAAGGCATTGGAGCTGAAATGATTGATAGGAATATTACTTCATACTAGTTTTAAACATCTACTAGTCTGCTTCCTCCTCTTTTCTAACATACATGATAAGGGACTTGCATCTGAGAAAAGCTGGCTCTGCTGTCTTGAGAATTCATTGACTTCTCTCTCTCAAACACACCATCCTACAAGAAATTAGTTTAATTCAGTATACAAGGTAATATTTCTGATTTACATCAACCCAAATACACACAAGATAAAAACATTATTTTTTTTCTCCCACGTATGCAGAGTCAATCAAATTGACTATGTACTGTAGAACAGAAAATTGCAATATAATCATTTTCAATAGTTGAATTCAAAGTAGTATTCACACAAGTATGACATGTAAAGGGTAAGAAGTAGACATCTAGAAGTTCGTTACTTTGCTGTTATGTCAGCATATGATTTTTGTGAAGCAAAAAGGACAAGGATTACTACACGAGATCACGATAGGAGACAGTTTAAGTAAAATACCGGTGTAGAAGATAATTGCTGAGACTTACCGTTATGTAAATTAAGCTATCTTGGACAGTGTGCATTTTTCTAGATTCTATGAAAGCACCAGTAGTAAGGCGATTTACAAATGAATGTATATATTGTTCAAAAGTATAACGGTATTACGCAAATAGTACACTGTACTTTTCAGTAAATTATACTTATTTTATAGTCTATTTTTATGCTGAAATGTTTGTTTGTTTGTTGTTTAACGTCCCTCTCGAGAATTTTTCAGTCATATGGAGACGCCACCACTTTGCGGTGGAGTGCTGCAAATTTTGACCTATACTCGGCACTCAGGGCCATTGAGTAGTTTGGGATCTCTTTCGTGCCAGCACCTACTGCGACACGGGATCTCGGTTTATATGTTTCATCCGAAGGACCGGTCTTCACGTCCCACGGTGGGATTCGAACCCGCGACGTAAGGATCAACTCCTTACTACATTATGCTGAAATGTGTCATTTTTCTAAACGATGAAGCCCTGAGATATATAGGATCTCCCATGATTTGTAGTTGGATATGATTTTTATCCAACGAGTTGTGTGTTTTTTATCCCCGAGCCTTGGCGAGGGGATAAAAACACACAACGAGTTGGATAAAAGTCATATCCAACTACAAATCATGGGAGATTCTTTTTATCCCATGTTTTATACTTCACAACCAATGTTTTACACTGTTTTATATAGGACTCCACTTTATTTTACTTCATCGCGCTAACGCAAAAACCATTGTGACGTCACAACTGTGGATTATGAAAAATTTATCCAATGAGTCATATCCACGGGATAAAGGGGTAAACATGGGATAAAAATTTATAACGTAATGTCAAAAATGCATATATATACTAGGCATGGGTATTTTCATGTAGAATGGTTGTATATTAACATTTTTTTATTTTTAATTTTATACACTTTGTTTTGCAATCAATTTTTATTTCTTGCCATTGTATTTGGAATAATATTGTCTTTCTTATTCCTAAATCCCAAGGTTGAAAGATTTCAAAAAATAAACCTTGAATTTTTATCGAAAAGAGGGAATTGTTATGCTAGTTGTGCCTAGATTTACATATTTTCTTTTGATAAAATAGGCTGTTGCAGAGGACAGATGTAAGGTTCAGCCTCAACTGTCTTATATGGACATGTCATTTATGTGTTGAAACCTCCTTATTTGAAACCTCATTATATGCTGATCCTTTGTCTTTATATGCCGATACTTTGTCATTGTATGCTGATACTTTGTCATTGTATGCTGATACTTTGTCATTGTATGCTGATACTTCGTCATTGTATGCTGATAAATTTGTCTTTATATGCTGATATTTTGTAAATGTACACTGATACTTTGTCATTTTATGCTGATACTTCGTCATTGTATGCTGATAAATTTGTCACTGCATACTGATACTTTGTCATTGTATGCGGATACTTTGTCACTGTATGCTGATACATGTACTTTGTCTTTGTATGCTAATACTTTGTCATTATATGCTGATACTTTGTCATTGTATGCTGATATTTTGTCTTTATATGTTGATGCTTTGTCTTAATATGTTGATACTTTGTATTTATATGCTGATACTTTGTCTTAAAATGCTGACACTTTGTCATTATATGCTGATACTTTGTTTTCTATATTCTGATAATTCTTCATTACATGATGGTACTTCAACTTTATATTCTAGGGTTGTAAAATAGTACTTCTAAAATTCTTGGACAAAAGCTTACAAAAATATCTGAGTTATTTCTGTGTTGACTTGAACATATTTTATTATTTAGATGTTACAACAAAAGGATCAGATATTTCTGTGTTATATCGGTGTTATTTTTTCCATAAGCATGTTACAATCATAGTTTCTCCAATATATATATGCAAATATATCTATGAAAATTATAACCCAGATAACCTAGATAATAACCAGATTCAGAGTTTGTTTCTTATTTTAATGAATATTATTTGGCGGATAATCATTTCAGCTAATAAATTGTCCATGCAGAAAGAAAAGCTATCTGTTGTCAAATACACTAAAACGAATAACACTTTTAATTTCACTTCTACCCAGAATTTTTCTGATTTTATGTTAGAAACACATGCCTTTGGTCCACTTCAACTTGTTGTGTGATACAATGCAAGCGAGACAACCGCATTTCAAAAACTTGCTGACGTTGTTACTGGATTTCCCCTCAAAGAGAAAACTGAAACTCGGTTGTTAGTTTTCTTCCTCCTTAATTTTCATTTTTGTTTAAATCAACATACCATGTTTTTTTTACGAGAAGGTGCATTTGAAAATTGTGCAGTTGAAAATTATTTTTAGCTGACTTACAGTCTTCTGTTAATGTTGAGGACGTACGTACCGTGTGCTGATGAAGTATTTTCTGGTCTACAGAGAGATTTTCACAACTGAATCATTATTATTGCTATGATTATAGTAAGTACTTAAAATTATTTGTTGATAATTTTATCATATATACGGCAGCATGACATGACATGAAATGTTATTTGACGTGAGGGGTTTTCTTTTAGAGACCCGCCATTTTGTCTATTGCTTATCTTGAGATAATTTTTATACTTCTTGGTATTGATAGTACATGTACATAGTTTTTATGATCTGTAATCTTTGAAAATATCTTTCTGTTGTTAACTTTGAAGCTTTTAGCAATGATTTTACACACATTTAAAAAAAAAAGGAAATTCTTTGAATAGTAAAAGACTGTTAGAATAGTAGTCTTGACGTCATAAATATGCGATAAATACGCCAGTTATAAAAGTCTTACCTCAAAAATTGAAATAAAACTTCGGAGCATTTTAATAAAATGTATATGGATGGTCAAAGTTAAGTGGAATGTAACACTAGTACATGGATTTTTCAACAAAATTCATCTATCTTATAACAAACAGTACATGTACTTAATAGTTCAAACTTGAAGAGTATATTACTTGAAATATTTAAAAAAGCAGGTTGTAGGTCAAGTCCAAGGCCACAAGGTCAGTAACCCTGTGCTCCCCTCAATCTGTTCCATTGCATTCTCTCTCTCTCTCTCTCGTGCACCTCAAGGTGTTCTTCCTCTCTTTCTTTTTCCTACAGGGACTCATATTAAAACGATTCTCACGTAGAATTAATGTATCTTCGGAGAATACGGCCTCTCCAGTTCCATCGCTGTACTTTGCTTGTTGTAGATAATGGGAATGTTTTTGTTCTTTTATGTGATTGTGGATTTGAGGTCTTGTCTGACCAGGTATCTAAGGGAATTTCTCCGAAGGAATTTACGTTGGAATGCATTAAACCATTCACCATAGTAGATTCTAGTATAGAACAATACAGCAATATGGATTTGATATGAAGATTTTCAGTTTGGTTCTTGTGTTGTACTCTGTTGACTTCCACACTTCTTTCAGGGATGAAAATGCAATTCTGACTAAACCTAACCCTCTCCTTATGCCTGCTTCTGATCCTCATGTCCTTTGTTATTCAGGGTGATGACATCAATTTCTTTTCTATTGATCTTCACTCTTTTCGTCTAACTCACGTTTAGTTTGAGTGCAGTATATTTTGCGATAAAATTTAGTCTGCCAGTCTTTTCTTGCATGCCACTATATTTGCTGGATATCAGTGCCAAATTGACCGGGGTGGGCTTTTTCCAGCTACATGTATTCATTCCTCTTTTGTTAGTGTTTCTCATTATACAGTCTACCACAATGATGAAAAGGAAACCAGACGTAACAAACCCCTATCTCATGCATTTCTGTCTGTACTTCAAACCAGTTTGTTGTTATCCCGTTTTCTTCTACATTGCTAGTGCTTCCATCATATATTTTCTTGATGATATTTACATATACTTCAGGAATCCCATACTGCCTTAGTTTATCTCACAGCTTTCCCTTATTATGCTACCTATAAAACCTTATGTATAATGGTGCTTGCCACTCTATTGACTGTTTCAATATGTTTCCTTGTATGTTCTGAAGTTCCTCTCCCGCTCCTAAGTTCATTTCCTGCATGCACGCTAATTTTTCTAGGTTTCTCCTTCCTCAGCTTTAGCTCTTGTCTTAAAACTCTATCCTTTGCTTTGTATTCTTTTTTTGCTATCTTCTATTCCATCTCTTATTCTGTCTATCGCTATTTTGAAAAACACTCTGGATGGTACTGATAGTAGGGATATTCCTACCCTGTTGTCACATCTAGTAACATGTAGGTCCCCTTCCTTTGGTATTTTTACAATGTGCTCTTTCATAGTCTGGTGGCATCATTCTATTCACTGATGATTCAGTTGAACAATTATCTCAATTTGATGATGTAGATGTTATATTTTGTTTAATAATTCTGCGTTAAGTTTACTCCATTTTTCATTTAGAAGATGGCTTTAATTCTTAATTTCGTCTTTTGTAATTGGCCATGTATCTTTTTTGAATGATACATTCTTCAGGAAGTTGTTGGGATGTTAAGAACTCCTTCAAAGTGTGACCGTCATCTACCTTTTATCTTTTCGTATTTAAGGAGAAGCTCATCATTCTTGGTATGAAACTTGTTTTCTTTCCAGAGAAGTGTTTAGTCAGTTGCTACACTTCCCTAAGATGTTTTTATTTGGCTGTATTTTCTGCATGCACGATATTTTTTTTCTAGGTTTCTCCTTCCTCAGCTTTAGTTTTTGTCTCAAACACTCTCCTTTGCTTTGTATTCTGTTTTTCTTATACTCTTTAGTAGTTAGTCTTTGTGTTTCTTCTTTCTCCTAACATTTTTTTCTGTTGTTCCTTTAAGTATATGTCTTTCACATGGTTCCATTTTTCGTCAACTGTGTTGTCCTTGTCTGACAGTTGGTGAAACGTATTTCTTATTTCGATCAGGAATCTTCTGCACTTTTTTTTTTATTTTTTCACTCTGCTGACATATACATCTTCCTGCTATTCGGTATTTGTTTTGTATTTCTGCAGAATTTCAGACACGAAAATTCAGAAGATATATTTAGCAGTAGGTCCTAAAATCACTTAAAACATTGAAATTATTGTCTTAGACAAGTATCATTGGCGTTTATAAACCTTTTCAAAACAATAGAGAACTGTAAGAGTAGCATTTTGAAAGATATCAACAACCTGTTCATATTTTTCAGTAACATGGCAACATTAAAAGGCCACACTAATGATATAAGTATGATGATACATGTTTGTTTAATAATACATAGAAGTAACAATTCACTGAAGTCGCGCTAAAACTTTAGGAGGATTAGCAATTAAATTGTTTTAATGATCTTACACTGAAATTAAAAATAGATGCAGATTTTTTTAAAGTGTCTCAGACCTCAAAGTGTCCTCTAATATTTAGAGGTCACCTGCCTCCTGGCCAAATATTTTAAGGAGCCAAACCAGTTCTTTTCTCTTAACTACAATGAATGAATTGTGGGTTTTGACAGCTCTCTCTCAGCAATACCGTTTTCTTGGTGATGATGCCGTTGAAAAATTGCTAGCTTGCAATCCGCCAAAAACCTGCTTTAAAAGCGTTGTCTCACAGTCAATTTGATGAGCAAGTATTAACAAACACTTCGGTAGATAGACACACAAAACTCAGGAAACATCGTGTAAATGAATTTAATATTCAAACAAAATGTTTAAAAAGTTGCCTGTTTGTGTTCCATGTGTTATTCATATAAGTCACATAGAAAATAAAAATGTTGATGATGTACTTGTGTATTTCACTAATAGTTATTTATCAAGAAGTTAATATTCCATAATATATCCATGCAAAAGTATAATATTAATCACTTATTATTTCAACCAGAAAGACTTGGAAGAAAATCTTACTTCTGCATTAAATAATCGAAGGGGCGGGGGTGGGTTAGAAAGGAATGTAGACTGATTGAATTTTTTTTTTTAAATTTTAGTAATGGATTACGATACAAAGGACATATGGAGAAAATATGGAGAAAGACCTGGACTTTTTCATATA